AGTGGATAGAAGCAATGGATGAAGAAATACATGTCATTGAGAAGAATGCTACTTAGAATCTGACTAATCCACCAGAAAACAAAAAAGCAATAGGTGTCAAATGGATTTATAAGACAAAGAAGAATATAAAAGGAGAAGTACAAAGATACAAAGCAAGATTAGTGACAAAAGGCTACAAACAAAGAGAAGGCATTGACTATAAAGAAATATTTGCTCTAGTAGCTCGGCTAAAGACAATCAGAATGATGATCTCACTAGCCACACAACATAGATGAAAGATCTATCAACTCGATGTGAAGTTAGCATTTCTGAATGGCTTTCGAAAAAAAGATATTTATGTTGAACAACCACTTAGATACATTGAAGCTAAAAATAAAATAAAAGTATACAAGTTAAAGAAAGCTCTCAACGGCTTGGAATACCAGAATTGACAGGTATTTTCAAGACAATGGATTTAAAAAATGACCATATGAATACACAATATATGTGAAGAAAGAAACAGGTAGCAATATATTATTTGCATGCCTATATGTTGATGACTTAATATTTACCGGTAACAACCCTATCATGCTTGAAGACTTCAAGAAAAGCATGATATAAGAGTTTGAAATGACAGACACTAGCCTGATGGCATATTTTATTGGCTTAGAAGTGACGCAGAAAGAAGAAGGGATTTTTGTATTGCAAAGCAGTTGTACCAAAGATTTTCTTGAAAGGTTCAAGATAGAAAGTTGCAATCCGATATCAACTCCAGTTAAGAATGAAGTAGAATTGAGAAAGAGTAAAGTTGGAAATGTTGATCCAACTTACTTCAAACGCTCAGTATGAAGCTTAAGGTACTTGATATGTACCAGATCGGATAAACTCTACAAAGTTGGACTTATCAACAGATATATGGAGACACCAGACCAGTCTCACTTGAATGCAGCCAAAAGAATTCTTTGTTACATCAAAGAAATAATAAATAAAGGTATGTTTTATACTTCAAGTAAAACCTTCAATCTTGTTGATACTCAAATAGTGATTAGAGTAGAGATCTGGATGAAAGCAAAAGCATAGCAGGATTTGTTTTTTTCATGGGAGATATATTTTTCACATGGTTATCCAAGAAGCGATCGATAGTAACATTATTAAGCTGTGAAGTAGAGTATATTGCTGCCAACTCAACTGCATGTCATTTAATATGGTTAAGGAATATGCTGAAACACTTGGGATTTCCTCAAGAAAATCCTACAAAGATTTATATTGATAATTGATCAACGATTACATCAGCAAAGAATCTAGTGTATCATGAAAGAAGTAAACACATTGATATACATCATCACTTTATCCTAGAGCATGTGAAGAACAAAGAAGTTGAATTGACATCCTGCAAAACAATTAATCAAGTTGCAGATATCTTTACCAAACCATTAAAAAGAGAATTACTTATCATATTAAAGTTCATGCTTGGCATGACATCTCTCGATTGAGTTTAAAAGGGGGATTTTTTTGCATTAAACTCAAACCAACAAGGTCAAAGATGGCAACACCACTTGCATTCACCGCTTGCAGTCACCGCCAGCCGCCTTTACGCTTAAAGTTTGATTTTTTTTTTTACTTTTAATTTGTATATAAATAGACAACTAAGTTTATATTACTGTGTGTAGAAAAGATAAGAGAAAAGCATTAGAGAAAAAGAGAGAGAAAGTGTATTTAAATCGTTTGTTTATATGTTTTATTTCCTCTAAGTATTTTAATGCCATTATTGGTGGTTTCTCCCACCAACACTAGATATTGTTCCTAGTAATTTTTTGAAGAAAAATCATCTTCATATGATGATGTATTAATGTGGCTAGTGGTGAGAACTGGCATTCGGGCATGACCATGTAGAGATTCTGAGGAGCTCTATCTTCCAACGTTTTACTGAACACAGGTTTACCTTTGTACGATTGTATGTTGACAGTAAGCAGTACTAGGAATATACCTGCAGGTCTGTGTCGGTAACAAACAACTTAATATTCAGTACAGTGGAGACCCTAGAAAGCTATATTTAGGAAAAAAGACCCGAATTAATTTGATCTTGGAAGATAAAGTGAAAATATCAATAATATTGGTTGAAGTTCCAATATTACCAACAAATGAGCTATAAATTTTGATACATAAATCCCCTATATTTAATAGAAAAAACATATCAGAATCATCATTAACACCACCATTAATATCTTTATTAGGAGAACTAAGAAGGATAAAAAATCTAGAAGAGTTATATGATATGACTCAAGTCATGAAAAATACAACTCTATTTTGTTTTCTTTGCAGATAATGACCCACTTAGTTTTAATGAAAATATCATATAAAAGAAGTGGATAAAAACAATGGATGAAGAAATACATGTCATTGAGAAGAATGCTACCTAGAATCTGACTAATCTACTAGAAAGCAAGAAAGCAATAGATGTCAAATGGGTTTATAAGACAAAAAAGAATATAAAAGGAGAAGTACAAAGAAACAAAGCAAGATTAGTGGCAAAAGGCTACAAACAAAGAGAAGGCATTGACTATGGAGAAGTATTTGCTCTAGTAACTCGGCTAAAGACAATCAGAATGATGATTTCACTAGTTGCACAACATAGATGGAAGATCTATCAACTCGATGTGAAGTTAGCATTTCTGAATGGCTTCCTAGAAGAAGATATTTATGTTGACCAACCACTTGGATACATTGAAGTTAAAAATAATAATAAAAAAAAAAGTATACAAGTTAAAGAAAGATTTCTAAGGTTTGAAGCAAGCTCCACGTGCTTGAAATACCAGAATTGACAGGTATTTTCAAGACAATAGATTTGAAAAATGACCATATGAATATGCAATATATGTGAAGAAAGAAACAGATAGCAGTATATTATTTGCATGTCTATATGTTGATGACTTGATATTTACCGGTAACAACCCTATCATGTTTAAAGACTTCAAGAAAAGCATGGTACAAGAGTTTGAAATGACAAACATTGGTCTGATAGCATATTTTATTGGCTTAAAAGTGACACAGAAAAAAGAAGGGATTTTTGTATCGTAAAGCAGTTATACCAAAGATATTCTTGAAAGGTTCAAGATGGAAAGCTGCAATCCGGTATCAACTCCAGTTGAGAATGGAGTAGAATTGAGAAAGAGTAAAGTTGGAAATGTTGATCCAACTTACTTTAAAAGCTTAGTATGAAGTTTAAGGTACTTGATATGTACCAGATCGGATAAAATCTACAAAGTTGGACTTATCAACAGATATATAGAGACACCAGACCAATCTCACTTGAATGCAGTCAAAAGAATTCTTCGCTAAATCAAAGAAACAATAAATGAAGGCATGTTTTATACTTCAAATAAAACCTTCAATGTTGTTGGCTACTCGAATAGTGATTAGAGTAGAGATATGGGTGAAAGCAAAAGCATAGCGAGATTTGTCTTTTTCATGGGAGATATATTTTTCACATGGTCATCCAAGAAGCAATCGATAGGAACATTATTAAGCTGTGAAGTATACTATATTGCTGTCAACTCAGCTGTATGCCATTTAATATGGTTAAGGAATATGCTGAAGCACTTGGGATCTCCTCAAGAAAATCCTATAGAGATTTATATTAATAATCGATCAGTGATTGCATTAGCAAAGAATCTAGTGTATCATGAAAGAAGTAAACACATTGATATACATCATCACTTTATCCGAGAGCATGTGAAGAACAAAGAAGTTGAATTGACATTCTGCAAAATAAATGATCAAGTTGCAGATATCTTTACAAAGCCATTGAAGGGAGAATTACTTATCATATTAAAGTTCATGCTTGACATGACATCTCTCGATTGAGTTTAAAAGAGGGATTTTTTGCATTAAACTCAATCCAACAAAGTCAAAGATGGCAACACCACTTGAAGTCACCGCCAGTGACTTCTCAAACCATCAGCCGCCAACCGCCTTTACACTTAAAGTTTGATTCTTTTTTTTTTTTAATTTGTGTATAAATAGACGACTAAGTTTATATTACTGTGTGTAGAAAAGATAAGAGAAAAATACTAGAGAGAAAGAGAAAGAGCGTGTATTTAGAGCTTTTGTTTATATATTTTATTTCCTCTAAGTATTTTAATGCCATCATCGGTGGTTTCTCCCACCAACACTAGATATTGTTCCTGGTAACTTCTCGAAGAAAAATCATCTTCGTATGATGATGCATTAATGTGGCTATTGGTGAGAACTGGCAGCAGGGCATGACCATTTGAGCTTCATTCATGGTGGTCTTTCCGAAAAGTTCAATTATTGAACTTGTGAAAATCAGGATGTCATATATGCTAGTCTCTGTGTTTCCAATTCCCCAACGAGCTATGATACCAGTACCTTTCCTCATTACCTGTGAATTGAGGTTCTTTGCTACCACTCTTAGGTTCCATACTAATTGCAGAGAGATCTGGCATGCAGGTGTAGACTTTAAACTGATAATGTCAGCTCAATTCCATTAAATTCGACTCCAGTATTTATTTGATTTTCCCAAAAAAATGTTTCGAGGCATTGTATTGATTTGAATTTGATGAAAAAGATACATAGCTGAATCAAAAATTCATGTACAGTACATGTTTTTCATGCTTAAAGCTTGTCCTGATCCACAGAAGAAAATAGAAGATAACTGTTTATTTTGATTTGGATTGCTAGTTTTAATTTATCCTCTTTGAATAACTTCAAATTGAAGCAGACCTTAGTTCGTAGAAGCAGTGGGGTCATGATGTTTCACAGAAATTAATAGTTGCCAGTCAGACCTGTATTCTTGATGATTAGGTAGAAGGCAAAACCATGTGATGGCTCATGAGCTAATTTCTTGACTAGACCTCTTGCAAGGACCTCTTCACACCTGGCTACATGCATTAGGGGATCTCTAGCAATATACCCTTGCATCTTTATAAATATACACACATTTAGGTTCACAAGCAACACAGGTCTTCACGTTCTTCAGAATAAAAATTGTTCAGCATCTCTCTCAAGAACTATATATTTCATTCTCATTCATATCAAATAATGGGTTTCCGTTTGTCTGCTATTATACGTGCTAAGCAAATTCTTCACCTATCTCCATCTGCAGCAAGCCAACTATCTTCAAATGTGCCAAAGGGTCTATGCTGGAGAAATCCAAAAGAAGAGATTCATAATTCCAATATCATACTTGAACCAACCACTATTTCAATACTTGCTACTTCAAGCTGAAGAAGAATTCGGATATCATCATCCCATGGGCGGTCTCACAATCCCATGCAGAGAAGACATTTTTCATCTTGTCATTTCTTCCTTAAATCAATCATGAAAGCTGATAATGGCATTGAAAAACTCTGACACGGTTTTGTAACGGTGACATTAATGCGTTTCATGTACAGACCTTTGTTTCTTTATATTTTTTTCTTCCTCAGGGGAATGAACTTGTTTCATGGTATGGCAAAACTGGATGCTATTGCCGTTTGGTCAGATTGTATTTCAATTAGGAAATTGCTAGAACCAATCAATGAAAGTTTGCCATCATATTCTATTGTTCTCTTGTTAATTTCCTTTGCATGAGTTTCTGCATTTTGTTTGAATTATATTCCTCGAAAAAAAAAATCTTCAGTAGCGCTGTCATCACCTGCTAATTATATTAGTGTACCAGTTCATGACAGACGAAAGCCTACATTAGTCAATCTTACGTCTGATTACACAAGACCAAACACCAAAGCACTGTCATCACCTGCTAATTAAAATGTTGTCTATCCGCATTGCACTTGAATGGTAATAAATGCTCTTTTAAGTAGGGAACACAGCTTCTCGGAAACTTCAAGAGGCTTGTACTGTAAGATGATAGACTTAAATGGTGGAACTAGAAGGCTGGAATCTCCTAGTGCCACCTTCAACGTTATATATATATATATATTTTATTTTTATTTTTATTTTTTTTTGAAGAACTGGTTCTGGTGTCTGTTACAGTTTACTTTTCTCATCATCTATTATTGAAAGCATCAACGTAGAGTGGGACAATTACTGCAGCCAAAGGAACAGATTCAGCTGTAGACTTCTCTGGTAGTCTCAGCCACTCTTTAATTTTAATATGCAATAGCATAGAATAGAAGCCTTGATCCTTTCCTAATCTTATTAATCAGCACATGTTAGGTGTCAGAACACTCGGCCAAACCAGGTCCAGTTAAGTAACAACTGATGTATAAGGGCCGTTTATCAAGAAGAGCATATGCAGCAACTGTTCAACAACGGTCCCCTGAAATTATTGCTGCCACTCAACTTTGTTTTCACAAGTGACAATCTTTTACAATTTCGTTACTATGAGAGTTCCCAGTATGTTAGTCCTAACTCCCACGGGGCAAGTGGTGATGGAGACTTAACTAGGAGTCGGGACAAATATAGTCTTGAAAGTTGATGCATTCATTTATCAAAAAGGGAGAAAGTGAAATGAAATAAGTCTTCTATTACTGCAGAATTGACATGTCATGATCAAATATAATGGATGGAGTATTAAATTTCATAATTTGTTTTTCTTCATCAACTTCGTTGTGCTTTATTACAAATAAATCTGATATGCTTATGTTCTGTTAAGCATTTCAGCTCGTATGTTCATGAAAGAGAAAGAGAGATACTGCAGAAATTTAACTTCAAGACATTCGATGATCACAAATTGACACTCATACCATTAACCATATAACCACAAGGTTGGTCTTGGCTGACTGCAAGTTCTAGGCAATCCTCCTATGGAATGTGTATATAAAGCCACCGTTTGACACAAATGAAAAATGGAGACCTCTTGAAAATGATCACTCATTTAGCAGACTAGATATTGTTGGTGATCCCTCCTCAAAGTAAAAACATATCCGTACGATGATATATCGAGCTGGCTAATCATCAGTGCTGGCAGTAGGGCAAGGCCATGTGAACTTCATTGTGTCGTCTCCAGCTGCGTTGGGAGACTGTAAGTTCTGCGCAATCCTCCTGTGAAAAGTATGAGGCCTTGTTCGGCACATTGCAAAGGGGGACCTCTTGAAAATGATCAATCATCTATCTCACTAGATTTTGTTAGTGATCCCTCCTCGAAGTAAGAGCATATCCGTACAATGATATATCCAGTTGGCTAATCATCAGTGCTGGCAGCAGGGCAAGGCCATGTGAACTTCATTGTGCACTGTCATCTGTCAAGCCAAGTTTATTCATTTTTTGGAAGAATAGCAAAGTTTATTCATTGATATGAAATTAGTGTTTCGGATATGATATTAGTGTAACTCTCAGAGCTTCCAGTTGCTACTCAAGTTATGCTAGTGAAGGTTTTCTCTTACCTATAGAAAAGGTTCTTAGCTACCACTTTCTGGTTCTATACTAATTGCAGGAAATTACACATGCTTGTATTAAATTTGGATTGAGGATGTCAGCTAAGGACTCTTTCGTGCAATTAGATTCCAGATTTTTTCTTTTTCCAGAAAATATCGTAAGGACTATAGCTTCAAATCTTCGAATTTGATAAACATATGATAATCTGAATAGAAAGAGTTCAATGGATATCTTGCCTTTAAATTATAAAATAAATGACAGGAGACTTAGCAAGTCTCAGATATTAAGAAAAGAAGGAAAATATCAGTTTATATTGTCAATCGGACAATCAGTATATATCATTCTCAAATAACTTGGAATGGAAGTAGACCTTTATAGTTCATAGAAGCAGTGGGGTCATAACGTTTCACAAATGATTTGTGGCCAGTCCTACCTGTATGCTTGATAATTAGGTTGAAGACAAAACCATGTGATGACTCATGATTTGATCTCTTGACTACTTCACATTCAAGGGCCTCTTGGCAACCAGTTTCTTGCATTAAGCGATTTGTAACCTTACATCCATAATACACACTTAATTAGGCTGACGAGCAATTCAAGCCGTCACATCCTTTAGAATCAAAAGTTTCTTTGCCTAACAAGTCTTCTTAGATTTGAAATAATGGGTTTTCTTTCGACTGCCAGTGTACGTGCTGAACAAATTCGTCAGCATTCTTCATCTGCAAGAAGCTAAGCAGCTTCAAATGTGCCAAAGGGCTGCCCATCAGTTTATGTTGGAGAAATCCGAAAGAAGCGATTTGTATTTCCAATGTCATATTTGAACCAGCCTATATTTCAAGACTTGCGGAATCAAACTGAAGAGGAATTTGGATATTATGATCATCCGATGGGAGATCTCACAATTCCTTGTAGAGAAGACATTTTCATTGAAGCCATTTCTTGCTTAAATCAGTACTGAAAGCTGACAAAGCCATAGATGAAACCTAAAAGAGTTCCTTTTTTCTTTTTTGTTGAGAGGCTGACACAGCTCAGGTAGATAGTTATACATGCTTCTGCTAATCCCATTTTTCTTCCTCGGGAAAATGAAAATGTTTCACAGTAGGAAAAGTTGCTGAAATTTTTCAAACTGTTTTAATTAGGAAACTGCGAGCATTAATTATCAAGGACTTGCTTCGGATCTCATCTTGATGATGAGTCAGAAAACAATACCATGTGATCCCTCGTAAATTCATGTCTTCCACCAGACCCCATCCAAATGCCTCTGCGCCTCTGATCCACATAAAAAATGATTTTCCTTGCCTATTAATTCATCTATATATACACATAATTGCAGCCTTTACATTCTCATCAGGTATCAGAGCTCTCGTCTCTTCATTAAAACCTTTATAATCTTCAGATTGTTCTAACACACATCCAAACAAAATGATGGCTATTCGCTTGCCCCGTATTCTTCAAGTTAAGCAAAATATTCTTCGAGTATCATCTGCGGCTAAAGATGTCTGAAAAGGCTACATTGCAGTATATGTTGGAGAAGAAGAGAAGAAAAGATTTGTGATTACAGTATCATACTTGAACCAACCTTCATTTCAGGACCTCCTAAGTAAAGCTGAAGAATAATTTGGATTCAAACATCAAATGGGTAGCTTACGATCCTTGGTGAGAATATTAAAAAATAATATAAATTATATCTTAAAATTTCATTTGATAATTTAAATTATTGAGTTGAGATATTTTTTAATATGATATTAGAGCATTGATGACCAAACAGTCACAAATATAAATATCATCATCTCTATTTATTTGATAAAAATTAAATAAAAATTAATATAAATTTTAACAAGTTTCAAGTTTAAAGAATTGTCACTTATTAAAAAATAATATAAATTATATCTTAAAAATTCATTTAAAAACTTAAATTTTTAGGCTTAATTGACTTTTTTGACAGAAAAAATATCTTTATCAATCTCACCACTAGCTCGAAGGACTAAAATAGATTAAAGAAAACAATTTTGTAGGCTGTAGAATACATTCCAAATATCACGTACAGAATTTACTCTCTCTGGTCCTGGAGAATAAGAAATATTTGTCCCCACCACAAACCATGGATGCAACTTAATTTGTTGTATAAACGAAAAGAAAAGCATTACTGAAATTTTTTGTTCATGAGATTCAGAAATATTGTCCTTTTGATGTCTTGCCTTTCACTTATAACTTTGCTGATCTTGGTTAGTCAAAAAGGAAAAAAAATATATATTTGCTTGATCTTTTCCTTGGAAGGAGTTCCTACAGGCTACAGTTATATATTTTCTTCTCACTTCAACGTTATGTTGTTCAAATGAGCAATACTCTTCGACATGCCATTTCCTTGAAGTGCATGAATTGTATGGATGTAAAACGATATAGTTGATGAAGGAACGCTTGTAGGCGCCATCCGTTTAGTTAACAACTTGATTTTCTGCAGTATCTCTTTATGGTTACAATCTGATTTATAAGGCTGCCTTGCGTGGATAGCTTGTCTGACTTCATAGTGCTTGATCACTTAGTTCGATTAATGACCCAATAACTTCAGTGCTCTGAGTTGCTCATGGAAGTTTTTTACTTAAAGCTTCTCTCTTAGTCTCATCAGCCAAAATATGAATTTTAATATGCAGGAGCATAGAATAGAATCCTGTATCCTTTCATAATCTGATTGCTTGGCATAGGTAGGTGTAAGAACACAAGGCTAAAAGCCGGTCCAGGTTGGTAGTATGTGATATAAATGGGTCACTTGACAAGTAGAGCATCTACAACAACTATTCAGCAATGGTCCCCAGAAAACTGGATTGCCAGACAAATTTGTTGTTAGAACTGATAACTTTCTTTGGTTTCATTACTTTGTCTGTGAGAGTGCCTTGGACATGGCCCTAAAAGGAAAGTGGAGATGGAGACTCAAGATAGGATAAATCTAGTCTGGAAACTTGATCCATTCAATTAGCACAAGGGAGAACATGAGTTGAAATAGGACTTTTATCATTGCAGACTTGACATGTCACATATAATGGATGGAATACTAAATTTCATATTTCCTTTATCTTCATTTTCTTTGTTGTAAACATGAATCTGACGTGCTCATGTTTTCCTCATATGCATTTCAGCTCGAATACAATTTTTTGGAGAAATCCAAAAGAAGCGATTTGTAATTCCGGTACCATAATTGAACTAACCTATTTTTCAAGACTTGCTTAGCCAAGCCGAAGAACAATTAGGATATGATCATCCAATGGGCGGTCTCACTATTCCTTGCAGAGAAGAGATTTTCATGGATGTCATTTCTTGCTTAAGTTAGTCATGAAAGCAGATAGTGGCGTGGATTGACTCGAGCACATTTTTTGCAAATAAGACACTTAGGACTTAAGACTACCATGTACAGGCCTTTTCTCGGATACCTTTTTTCTTCCTTACGGGAAATGAACATGGTTCACAGTACTATTGCTGTCTTCTCAAATTGTATTTCAAATTTGAGAGTGAACGCATCAATCAATGTGTTCTTTAATTTTCTCATGGCTATATAATGTTCTCTTGCAAATTTCTGTCGTGATGTCTTACGTTCGTTAAATGCGCTACTATATGATCATTGCTCTAATTACTTTTCCCCATAACCAAAATTAAAAAAAAAACTCTTCATCTGAAACTGGAGTGTGGCAGTCTTTTTACATGTTGCTGTTGTAACAACAAAGTAAACATTTTTATGGTGTCAGGCATCAGTTCATCACAGACAAAGGCCTAAAGAAGTCAAGTTTACTTTGATTGCATCATGTCAAATATTAAGAACCTGTGTCCATAACTGTATAGTTAAAACAAAGTAAGGAAAATTTAGAGTCGGACGTTCAATATTTAGTGTAATCACTGATCTGTTCCTCCACAATTTTTACAGAAATAGATGTTGAGGCTAACTACTTGAAAAACCATTTTCTGCTATGATGGTCATTGCCAAGGTACATGATCTGCTTCAAGATCTTTAGACATAACCAAAGGATTCTTAGCTGTTTGCATCGGTGAAATGGAGAAGAAGCGATCTGTAGTTCCATTGTCCTATCTGACTAAGCCCTCATTTCAGGATTTACTTAATAAAGCTGAAGAGGTGTTCGGTTTTAGTCATCCAATGGGTGGTTTGACAATTCCTTGCAGAGAAGATACATTCATTGATGTCCTTTCTAGCTTGAGTAGATCATAAAATAGAGGCAATCATACTAACCAGATAGAACAATCTTGTTTGACATGAATTGCCAATTTGATGTAAATCCAAACTTTGATAACTATATTTTTCTGTTATAGAATCAAACAATTTCAAAAATGAGAAACTTTCTTTGTTTTCCCTCATAATCAATTCTATATCATTGAATGTTATCCCCATAATGATTGAATGAACTGATACAAGTGGCCAAAAATTATTTGATCAAATTCTTGATTTGTTTTCTTCTTAGGTTGCATATGGCCATCGATTGTTTAAGCAGCCATACCCTTCTTTAATTTATGTTAGTTTAACGTTGGTTAATCTTCCTTTAATATTGTTTGAAAGCTCATAAGTGAATGGATATGCTGCTGGATAAAAATAATTAAGTAGTCAATTATCAGAATTAATTTCATAAACTGCAGCACGAACAAGATTTCTGAAATGTGAGTTAGGTTCTAAAAGGGAGGAGCATTGCCACCTGCTTCACATGCTCTTCACAATGCCTTGTCTGGCAAGAATTTCTTCTTCTTCTTTTCCTTTACTATTTGTGATCCATGTAAGAGTTTTTTGCTAAAGCAATAAACGCTGGTGAATAAAGCCTCGATTGCAGGTTTACCGAGGCTAGCCTTTCTGTTTTTAACCATGCAACTCGAGGGAAATTAATGACAAGAAAATTTTGGTCGAGGCCGGACACATTCACATCATTACCACCCAAAACAAAGTAGATGTCTGAAGCTTGTCCTGCATTCTAATTTCATCTACAGAAATGATCTTCTTTCTGCAATTCATGAATTTCAAGTGGGGTCCTCTTTTATGATTGTCTCATGATTCTCTTGGGCATAATCATTGTTGTCGGACTTGATCCAAGGCGTGACTCGAAAAAGGATTTTAAGTTATTGGGTTATCGAGTTAAGTAATAAGTTATTGAGTCAATCCGAATTAATAATATGATTAGTATAATAATTTCTTTATTTAAATTAAAATTCAATTCTAGATTGCAAGTTTCTCGGATCAATCAAATAACCAGGTTTAATACCTGCAAGCATAATTGCAGCAACAAAGACCATAATCAAACTAGTGTTTCTTGTATTTCCTAGTACGGAGAACATGAAAATATCTTACAAACAAGAATTGGATCTTACTCTCTTTAAAATTTTACATCAAAAACTCAATCCTCATCTTCTCTTCTCTCTTTAATTCACGTACCTTCTATCATGGGGTTTTTTTTTATCCAAAAACAAGCATCACACAGCAATCTAGTCCCACTAGACTCAGTCTTTCCCTCACCGGTTCACTCATGTTTTACCTACAACTAGTTTGTCTCACAAACCGACACTCTT